CCCAGCCAAGTCGATAGATAGCCTTAACTACCACAGTGGGCCTCCTCAACATACCAGCAAGAGAGCCTGCTCATAAGTCAGAAGTCATAAGCTTTTGGGAGTCTAATTATTAAAGTGACATCATAACACCTTTGCCATGTTTCATTGGTTAGAAGCAACCCATTAGGCCAGCCCACTCTCAGGGGGAGGGGATTGGACATAAACATCAAGAAATTGGGATCAACCAGGCCATTTTAGTGTCTGCCTGCCAGCCACACTAGTCTATAACTTTAAAAAAAAAAAAATTGCCATTAAGTCCATTCAAACTCATAGCGACCCTCATTGGGTTTCAGAGGTGGTAAATCTTTATGGAAGTAGATTGCCTAGTCTTCCTTCCATGGACTGACTGGTGGGGTTGAACTGCCAACTTTAATATTACTAAATACACGTTAGTTATTATTATTACGCTGAATTGAGAGATTTGGAAATTCTAGAGGAAGCCAGTGAAGGATTTTATATCTGGAAGTAACTTTAGGTAATCTTGGACAATCACTTAATGTCCTTGAGACTTTATTTCCCCCTCAGTAAAATGAAATATCTATCCCCTAAAAAACTGAGAAAATGTGTGTGCAAGTATAAATATGTATGATAGAGCACTATACTGAGGAAGCAAACTGCTTTGGGCCAGTTTTCCACGTTTTGGTGATTCTGTGTGTATTACAGTCTGACATCTTCATGGATTTTAGTATTTGGCCCTATGGGTCCATAGGCATTTGTATAAGTGGGGAAAAAAAAAATCTACAAAAGGAAGTCTGTCTTTTGAGAACCCTTAAGGCTTTTTCAAGGTTTGCTCTTTTCCTCCTTTTTAAATACCTTTGCTTCCCAGGACCAGACGGGGGCTGTGAGAGAGAAAACAGGCTATCTGGAAAATTTCAAGCCCTTGGTAATAAAAATGGTAATAAAATCTCGTACATCTCCTGAGGCTTCGCAGAAGGGATGTTTATGGGGGTTGGGGTTCCCCCACACCCGCGCAGCTGGTTTCAAGCTTGTGTTGTTTCCAACCGTGGTCCACCGCTGCAGGGAGGCTCGGGTTACCGCCACTGTGGCCGCAAGCCAGTGCAGCTCCGACGCCCGCAAGCGGCGGGAGAGAGACCCACGTTCCTTTCACCTCGGCGCCCCACCTCACCTTCTCTCCCATTTCTGTTTCCCAACCCGGATGCTGTACCCTTCACGCTTCCAAGCGGAGCGGAGCACACAGTCTCATTTCGTGGTCTCCCTGGTGCAGTTTACCTCGGAGAAGGTAAACAGCCCTGCTGTAACCGGACTGGCGGGCATGTGAGCAGGATGGCACAGTGGCCTGGGCAACCGGCCTTCGGCAGGGGACAGAACTTAGGAGCCGGCCTCTGGCTCCGCACAAAGGCGCGCCTCTCCGCAGGGCGTCTCCGCTGCAGGGAAGCGGCCGAGAATGCGGCGACAATGTTCCTTTGCTTCTCAGCCTGGCCTCGAGGGCAAGGGAAGCTCGAAATCCCAGGGCAGGACGCAAATGCAAAGGGCACCCCACCACCACACTCTGGCTCAGTCAGTCTGACGGGCTACGTCGCGCCTGCCAGCAGTGGCGCGAGCCGCTGGGGGGACCCCTTTCGGCTGCGGTCACCTCCCGTAGCGCGGCTGCCCTCGGAGCTTTCAGGCCTTTCCCACCAGAGAGCTGAGGTGACGCGGGAGCTCCCGGGGAGAGGAGGGTAAGGACAAGGCGGAGGAAGAGCAGCAACTCGGGGCAGCCTCGGCCCGGGGTTTCTATCTCGCTGGCCCGGGAGCTCACGCGACCGCTGCCTTACAAAACTTGTAACCAGAACCAGATGTGGTGGCTGCTGTTGAACTTTCTCAGACGCGGCCATTGGTCCCTAGCAGAAGACCGCAGCCAATCAGTGCGTAAGGGAACGCTCAAAGTCCCGCCCCGGCCGGACGCCTGCTGGGATCCTGGTTCGAGGCTGGCGCCGAGCTTCTAGTGGGCTGGCTGACTGGGCCTAGGACGCGCTCAGCTGCGGTGCAGGGCACGAACAGAGCGAACATGCGGGGGGACCACGAGGACCGGTCGGCCGAGCGGCGGGCGCTGCTATTGCCGCTGCTGTGGCTGCTGCTGCTGCTGCTGTCCCGGGTCGAGGCGCTACAGCCAGGCGAGCTGTTTCCCTACGGGGAGTCCTGGGGGGACCAGCTTCTGCAAGAAGGCGACGACGAGAGCTCAGCCGCCGTGAGGCTGGCGATTCCCCTGCGCTTCTACGGCGTCCAATTCAGTGACCTCTACGTAAGTTCAGCCCTCTCCTGATGCGGGACTCGGTACATTCCTCGCAGTTTCTTTCTAGGGGTCAATGCAGTGTCTGTCTCACCGATCCCCTGCTTTCGGAAGGAAGGAAATAGTCCCAACGCCCAGCTGCCTCGATCGCCCCTGGGATGGGAGCGAGCTTTGCAGCAATGCTACTGCTCGACCCGCTGCAGTTCCTTACCTCGAGGGGAGAGCAAGAGTTGTTCGCAGGCATATACGGGTCCAGGCAGAAAAGAACGTGGGGCTGCTAAAGCGGCCAGTGGGGTTTCCAGTTAGGAAAAGGCTGCGCACGCCTGCAGAGCTAGGGTGTTCCCTCCTCGCACCCGGGAGTGTTCTCCCCAGGGACACCGGACTCCAGAGGTGTGCGGGAAGTGACAAGTTTCAGGGCATCTGGTCCTATTGAGCCGAGGAACTGGGCACCGCGCTGAAACTGCTGGTCTCCCAGAGCTGGGAGTCGGCTCCCAGTCGGTGGAAGTAGTGCTCTACGCGGTTGGAAGCGTGGCTGCCCTTCCCTCTTTGGGGCGCAAGGTAGGCGCACACATCTGGCCTTGTAGTGGCCGCCCTATGGATTCCTGCACAGTAAGGGACCGTCACTTTTTTCTCGTCCCTCTCAGGTGGGCACCAATGGCATCATCTCCACCCAGGACTTCCCCAGGGAGACCCAGTATGTGGACGATGATTTCCCCACAGACTTCCCTGCCATCGCCCCCTTCCTGGCCGACATCGACACTAGTCACGGAAGGGGTAGGATCCTGTACCGAGAGGATACCTCCCCAGTGGTGCTGGGTCTGGCTGCCCGCTATGTGCGCGCCGGCTTCCCGCGCTCCGCCTCGAACTTCTCTCCCACCCACGCCTTCCTGGCGACCTGGGAGCAGGTGGGAGCCTACGAAGAGGTCATAGGAGGGGCGCCGCCCTCGGGGGAGGTAAGTGACCAGCGAGACTCTGCCGGCCATTAAGCTGAGAGATGAGCGTGAGTCCTGAGTTGGAGCCAGAGAAATGCCATGTGGTCTTTGCTGAGCCTGTGCGCCAGCACTGAACCAGATGTATCATTTGTTGGCAGCCAGGGTTAGGTGGCCTGGAAGGGAAGAAGGCAGTTGTCTTCAAGCTTCCTCTGAGGCTCTAAGAGATGGCCACCTACCCAGGAAAGGTTTACTCAGGGGATATGAGGGCCAGAGTGCAGCTGCAGGAGCCCCTCTGAACTTCCACACGTGGTTTATTGTTTGTTTGGTTGGTTTTACAATGACCTCTAAGTAGGGAAGTCATATTTCTAATTTCATTAAAGGGAAAATCAGAAAATACAGGGACTTTTAAAAAGAACAACCACTCATTTTCCTAGAACTCAAAGATAACTGCTGTTAAACATTTCCATGTGTAGGCTTCCAGAGTTTTTTCCTATCTGTATCTGTACCTGTCTATCTATTAACAATGTGCTCACACTGCACATACTATTTAGTAACCTACTTTTTTCCTCACTGAATAGTATATTGTAAATATATTTTAACATCAATAAGTTTATTTATGCATTTTTTTATAATGACTGCATAACATTCCACCCATATGGTTTACCTCAGTTTTCTCAACCAGTGGCCTCAGTGGTCATTGAGGTTATTTCCAGGTTTTCCTTACTATTACTAATACTCTTAAGTGCATTTTTCTTTCTTTTTATTTTTTAGCTAATTCTTTCCACATGTCCTTAGTTGGCATCCTAGGAAGTAGAATTAGTGGGCCATAGATGATGCCTTTTTAAAAAATAAAAAAAAAGATTCTTGCTGTTTTGGCAAATTGTCCTTAGGTACCAGTTTACATGTTCCTTAGTGTACAGGAGTCTGCCTTTGGTTTGTTTTACAGTCTCTGTCTAAAGAGTGTAAAGCAACCAGGTTCCCAGTCTCTAGGCCTTGCAGCCATTTGAAGGCTGTTGAAGTTCTGTGTATGCATATGAGGTGGGGCAAGGGGGCTTGACAGATGGTGACCTGCCTCATTCCTGGAGAGGTAAGTGCTTTCTCCTTTGAAATCGGACATACATCTAAAAATGTCATATCCCAAGAGTAAAATTTATATCAATTTTAAATCATTAGTTCTTAGCTCAGAAGGAAGGTTGGACAATCTACTTCTATAGTGATACTGCCACGGAAACCCAAGGAGGGGTCGCTATGAGTCAGGTCCAACTCAACGGCACATAACACAACACACACACACACACACACACACACAGTTTCTTAGCTATAGAAAGATGGCAAATATTCTCCCTCCAAATTTAAGTAACTTGCCCATTGTCATTGTGCAATTCAACACGGTGGCATTCTTGTTCTGTGTCCTGACAATATGAGTATTTTCCTAAAATGTGTGCTAAGCAAAGAAGATGATAGTTACAAAATCACTTGCATTTATGATTTTTTGCCACTTAACTTTTTTTGTCAGACAACATCTAGTTTTGCTTATTGAATAATTTCTAAATGCATGAGTTGAACATCTCAATTATTTAATTCAACAGAATAAATTCCATTAAAACAAATATAATGAACACCTTCTTTGTGCAGGGTACTGGTCTGGGTGGAAGGTTGGAAAGGATACAAAGATGAGTAAGGCAAGATCCCACTATTATGTTGGGTTTATTCATTCATATCTGTTTACAAGTTTTTTTTTAAAAAAAAAACTTATTTGAAAAATTAAGTATAATAGAAATTTGGAAAACATATTAAATATAATAGAAATTTGGAAAACATAGAAGAAAAGCACTGTATAATTCTCTTAACTGGAGATTAATAATTTAATTGATAATTTATTATGTTTTCTTCCAATCATTTTTTTCTAAACCTGTGTGCTATGTGTGACATATTCATATATGTATGCATAAATAATTTATATTTAAACAGAGCTGAGATTTAGTCATTCGATAAACACTTTTTACATATTTACTATATGTCAGGACTGGGACAGACACTGTGAAGAACATTTTCTTTGCCCCAAAAGATCTTATGGTTTAGTAGGGGTATTGATTACTGTTCAGTGTAGTAAGTGTGGTAATTTCTTGACTTAAGGAACCTAACCCTCCTTTCTTGTTAGAAGCCTTGGTCTGGGAAAGTTTCAATGAAGAAAGAGCTTTGAGTCTATGTTGAGCAGAGTGGAACATTCTAGACAGAAGAGATGGCAATATGACAAATCCCCCATGTGTTATAAAAAATATGTTTAGGGCATTGCGTTAGGTACATTATTACTGAAGAGGAAGATTGGTGGGACATGAAGTTGGACAGGCCATACAGTAGGAACAGATCCCTCTCTGATAGGATTTTGGACTTTGTTCTTTGACAGTAAGCAGCCTTTGAAGGATTTTAAGCATGGGATTGATACAATTGTATTTTGTTTATTTATTTATTTAGGAGAGCTCTGTTTAACTGTACTGAGAAGGTAAGGGCACAAAGGAAAGACTGATTACTTAGTCATTACATGTATTGTTTATTCAAGCTGTCTTATTGAATTCTTAAACAATATTTTATTATGCTGTTGTCTCACAATACAATCTTACAAGATAGTACAACAAGAATAAGGTTTGCATTTCACAGATAAAGGCTAATAGATGTTAAAGTAAATGTCCAAAATTCTGCTGTTAGTGATGCAGAGGCACGTTTAGAATACAGATTTCTTAGTCTTTTTATTTTACTTAATTTTGCTTTTGTCCAGACTTTTCATGCAAGACCCATTTCCTTAGCAGAGGTGATATAAGTAAACCCAACAGTAGATATGGTTTTTCCAAAGACTTTCAATACATAAGGCTTGAGTTTTATTTTCTCCATGTGATCTTAGTACCAGAAGAGTGCTTGGAACTATATTCAAAGGAAGAATGGACTTGGAATGAAATCTGTTTCCAAATATTTTCTTGTCAATATCACTGCCAAATTTGTATCCCAATGCTCTGAAGAGAATTCAGCTGCATCCATCTTAGTTTTCAACAGAGGGAAAAAAGGACAAAGTTGAGTAAGATGAATCTAAAAGATGAACAATTGCACAGAGGCTCTAGGGTCATGAAATCATGTTAGGTTTTTAACATTAAAATTTTAGCAGGTCTGGTTTGAAATAGAAAACTGCACTACAGACAAGATGACTTTGTTAATTATTTTTCTTAACTTCTTCATCTTTAGCATTGGAATAATGCTTCCTTTACCTGATATCTTAGGCTGATTCTATAGAAAACTGAAGTATGTATCTATATACAAAGAGAAAGAGAGACAGAGGTAGGGAGAGAGAGAGAAAGAGAGATGCATTTCAAGGAAATGGCTCATGCAGCTGTGGAGGCTGACATATCCCAAATTCATGAGTCAGGCATCGGGCTGGAGGCTTCTTCTTACTTGTGTGTTGCAAGGGCTGATGAACCCAAAATTAACAAGTCAGGTGGCAGCTGCTGGAACACAGGGCTGTGGGAGCTGGTGAATCACTAAATCTGTAGGTCAGGCTATAGGCTGCTGGCTCATGTGACAAGAACAAGAGGTCAGATGATGATGAGACAGATGTAGAACAGAAAGAGAGAGAGCTTTGCCAGACATCCATATATATTGGATGTAGGCCACACCCCCAAGGAAACTCCCCTTACATGAGGTTGCAAAATGGAGCATAATTACATATACTGAGATTCACGGCTTAGCCAAGTTGACACATAACATTAACTGTTATAGTCTGTCCCTTGTCAACCTGACATGTGAACACAGCTCCTTAAACCATACATAATCTCTAATAAAGATGATTTAAAATTCATACTTGACCCTAACATGATATAACTAACATGTGTATAACCAAAAATGCACTAGCCCCATTTACATCTTATATTTTATAAGTAATGGGATAGGGGCAGGAAGAAAATAAAAAATATTTGCTGTATTTATGCATATATACATATACATATATATGTATGTATATGTACATATACACATGTCATAAAACAAGGAGGAAATACTCTTTACAATTACACTCCATGTTTCTGTAACTATTCATAACTGGTATTTAGAACTTCTACCACCAATTCCATATTCCCTTTGACCTCAGCAAGCACCTCATCTGGTCACAGTTCTTTGCCTTGTGTGGTGACCAAAACCTTCATTCCTGAAGGGTCTGGACCATTAGTAGTCATGCTGAAATTGGGTTGCTGTAGTTTTCCATTGAGTTTAATCACAGAGCATGGTAGTACTAAGAGACACCCTAAGTGATTTCCTGTATTCTAGGCATACTCTTTATCTCCATCATGGAATATCAATCCAATTTCCCCTTGGTGATTACTAATCAAAGGATCCCTGGTGACATAATGGTTACACACTTGGCTGATAACCATAAGTTTGGTAGTTTGAACCTGCCAGCTGCTCCACAGGAGAAAGATGTGTCGGTTTGCTTCTGTAAAGATTACAGCCTGGGAAACTCTATGGGGCAGTTCTTATCTGTCCTATAGGGTCACTATGAGTTAGAGTTGACTCAACAGCAACAGATTTGGTTTTTGGTTTTTAATCAGGATTAATCACACCACACAATATGATGACTCCCTTCTATACCTGTTGACCCAGAGGCATGAGACACTCAATGTGGCCCAATGGCATTCTCAGCTTCCACTTCAATGGGATCAGTGTTGTGATTCCAGGTGAGAGCATTGCTCCCTTCGGAACTTAGACCTCTAGACCTGCAGAGCACAGGGTCACAGGGGCAGGAAACAAAAATTTGTGAGTGGGCCCCTAGAGGCAATAGTAAGTGGTGTCGCTCCCATTTCCACTCATTGATTCTTAAACCCATGAGTCCTGGCTATGAGAGAAACAGCACCATATATTGGAAGCTGGTTTGAATTGTATACAGCATCTTGGAGAACACTGTCCCAACCATCCAAAGTATTTCCATCTAGCTAACACCATCATAGTGTCTTTAGAAAGCCTTCCATCATTCTATTGAGCCA